ATATGTAATATAAATTAAAAAGAAAAAGTCTGAAATTAGCTAAAGTAGTAATGATAAGGAAGTTACAATTCAGAATCCAAATATATTTGTAGAGCCAGTAAGGGCAAAAGCTTGAGTACATGTTCCATTACGCTTTATTTCTTGACCCAAAGCAACAAAAACAGACGGTCATTGACTCATACTGGAAACCAAATTGTCAATGGTTTATCAAAAGGGAAGTCCTTTCTACACAGCCTCACAAAAAACTTAAGTTTCAATTCTTCATCCTGCGGCTCCTGTTCTCAGTAGGCTGAATTTAACTTCTAGATCACTGGTCACTCCCCCAAAATTCCCCAATGCGAATGAGTGTTTCCTGAGATAAGCCGAGGCAGAGGACGGGAAGAGATAGAGCTCAGGAAATGCAAAATGAATGCACATGCCCACAACAGCACAAGGAACTCAGAAGTAGGTTTGTGCAAAACAACTGCCCCGCCTGCTAATTCTGATGGAGTAAAAGCAGGCTCATCTCATGAGATAACCAGGGAGGGGAGGTAAACTTAGATACACGAGCAATCCTTATATCTCATTTCAAATGTCAAATTTCTTCTCCACTTAGTATTTTATTACAGCTACTAACAAGTGGCTTAAATTTCACTTCTCTTCCCACTGAGAGAGAGAGAGAGAGAGAGAGAGAGAGAGAGAGAGAGAGAGAGAATGCATGCACGCATGCAGGAGACAGTACAAGAGCACCTCGGGGCATCTGACTGCCTCCCTACCCCACCAAGTGGAATATAAAGACAGATCACCCTTCAGGCCCACGTGCCAAAGTCCTACTCAACATAAGGTCTTTCTCACACCCGCTGCTTCATGAGGCCTTGCTGTCACCCCTGCGTGTGGAACTGACGGTGGCCTGCTTTCTTCTCTCACTGCATTTCTGTTGGAAATCTTACTACTTCCACAGTCACTGCCTGCTTCGATGTAGAGCTCCCACTGAACTGTGGGCCACTTACTCTTCTTTGTATTCCTCGTGGCACTGAACACAGTGCCAGATACATAATGGGCCCTCAACAGACACCAATTAAGTGAATTTCTCTCTTGGGTATCCGAGTCATCAGGTGCACACGACTCACCTCAATGTAGTCCTGAAGAGCAGTGTCAAGCATGGTGAGGTCGGTCAGGAAGGTGCCCAGGTAGGGCACAGTTCCCTGCATCACGCCCTGAAGAGCAAGCACAGCAAAATGGTCTTTGTCGTGACTGAAAAGTTGAAGGGTTTCAACAGCCTCCGCGCGGAGGCAAATGAGCCTATTGTTGGCCAAACCGGGCAAGTGACCATTCATAGATGAAAGCGGCAATCTCTGAATGGCCAGGTAGGCTTTGACAACATCTGGAGAAAAGTTACCGTCCATTCAAGACCTGACTTGGGGCCATTAGGGCTAACCTCCGTGAATGAAGTTTTTAAAACTTCTAAAAAAGACAGGCATTCTATCACCCAATCTCTAACTTTCAAAGTTATGAAAACAAGCCTTACAGCCAGGAGATCATACAAGTACGTTGGAGGGTATTCACGGAAGGATTCATATTGTGTGCACGCTGTTCAAGGGATGCCTTTTCTCTTTCAGAGTGTGTGGATACTCCTGGTGGTTTGGAATGGCCTCACCATTGGTAGGAGTGGAACGCCATACACTGAAGGAGACTGGATGCCACAAGACGGTGGAGTGTCACTATTAAAATGATCTCTCGGGCTAGACTTTGTGGCTCACTTCCAAAGTACAGAGGTGGCACAGGGAAAACTAATAACTTCAAAGTGGAAAATCTGGCAAAATACTACTTTAACCAAGTGACTAAGGCGAACATCACCCACGACACCACACGTCACACACTCCTTGATAGGATGTGATGAGAATGGCACTTTACCTCTGTGATAGTCCTCACCCAAACCCATAACCTCAGCATACTCACTAGAAAACAGCACAGACACACTCTTACTGTGGGCCATCCTAAGGATAACAAGACAGTATTCCCTAAGACTGTCAAGGTCATGAGAAACTATCACAGAGCAGAGCAGACTGGGGAGACAGGACCGCTAAACGCGGTGTGGTTCCCTGGCCAGGCTCCCGGAGCATAAAGAGCATACTAATGCAAAAGTGGTGAAGTCCGAACAGAGTCTGGATTTTAGTTCACAGTAGCATGCAGGTAGCTTGTCACAGTAGCATGTCAGTGCCTTAGTGTCGACAGATGTGCCACAGTGAGAGAGGGTGTTAACAATCGGGGAAACAGAGTGAGGGCTTCACAGAAACTCTATGTATTATCTGGAACTTTTCTATAAACTCCATAATAAAAAGTTCACTTAAAAAAAAATTGTCCCTTGGAAATGAAGGTAGAATCACTGCGACTGCAGGTGTACACAGTATGGATGTCACCAAATTTCCTTTGATATCATGTCAATTCTCCCTAAGGCCACTGAGGCACTAACCATTCTGAAGAGAAAATAAAAAGGGGCTTGCAGGGACGCCTTCTCCTCACATCATTCAGGCACATATGGAAGTTCTGGAAGAAAACAATGTCTCAGCCAGGGCAAGACCAGGCTGCTCCGTGTGAGGCTGGCTAGGAGATCACACATGTTCGAGAGTGTTCACAGAAGGATAAAACTCTAAGTAGGAGTTCTTGGCCAGAACTTCTAGCAGAGGTTCACCTTGAGGACTCATTCTCAGAGGCAGTTTTGTCCTTCCCTGTTATGAGCACAAGGTCTCAGCCTGAACTAAAATAATTTTTTTAATAGCTATTTTTAACTTATCTTTGGACAACCAAAAAAAAGTCTGAAATGCTGTGAAATGTTTTACCGGCTTTATGTTACAGAAGAGTCCTATCATTCAAACTCAACATTTCTGATTTATGTCCAACCTTCCGAAGAGGAGAAAGGTTGTCAGTCTTTCATCTCCTCTCTCTGGTTTTCCCCCTTCCATGCTAAAAGAAGAGTTTTTAAAATAAGGCTAAAGATGGTAACTATCTCTCAGTCTTAAGGAGGAAGGTATGGTGCTCCTTTCAGTACTGAAAAACGAGGGGAAAAAAAAAGGTCTGGTTAGTCCTTGGGATTAGTATGGAAAGTGGAAAATGGAGAGGGTTTCGAACAAACGAAAAGATCTGCCAGTATGTGGACCAAGTCCTCCTGGGAGAAGACACTTTCCTCAGGTCCTGGGTCACCATGTGTCCAAAGTTGACTAGAGGAGGCATTCCTGTTGGGGAACTGAAGCCCAGGAGGTCCCAACGCCAAGGTAGCAGCAGCTTCCAAGTGCAGAAGTGGATGGAGGAAGCCAGCAAGAGGGAAGGGAGCCTACCCGCGGCAGACTCTGCCTTACCTCTAGAAGAACAAACGCTCCAGAGAACGCTCAGATTTGTGACTCTCAGTGTTTATTTGCCACTGGGTCAGATGGGAGCGGGAGTGACAATGTCTCTGCTACAGACCTCCCAGGGTTGCTGAGAATACACGAAGTAGAGGATGGAGACCGTTCTTGAAAGCGGGGGCATCCTGTAGACGGGGTGCCAGGCAGGAGCCCCACCGCCCACATAGGGCTGCCTTCTGATGGACCCTCGGGGAAGACCGGGGGCCATACGTACCATGTCCTTCTGGAGCTGAAGCCTCCTCTGAGTCCGCTTCTGGTTTTCTTTCACACTGCTGTCCAGGTTTGCAAATTTTGAAGTTCCTTCCTACGACACAGAAGCACACACAGAGGAGAGTGATGGAGAAGGCCACTAGGAAGAAACACAGGGGCCTCTAGCTTCCGGTACAGAACCTCTGCACAACCACCCGGGGCCACGCAAAATGAAGAGGCCTCCAGCAGGCTCTGGGCTGAATTTATAGAAATGTTTGGCTGGCTTGTTGTAAGTGGTCTGATTGCAGTAAGGTCTGCTGGCCTCCGATTATCCTGTTTTCCCCCTGCTTTGTAAGAAGAACCCTGACTTCGGGGATAACATCAATGGTCAATAGAAGGCAGGCAATTCCCAAAACGGGAGACCATTTTTACATATCCCGAATTTCACTCAGAGTAATCACATGTCCTGGAAATGAAGATCGCTTCCTCAGTACATTTTGTGATTTCTTGATCTGGGCCTGAAATACATGTGCCAGCATTCTGTGAAAGAAAAGGGATGATTTCTGTGGTATTTCTTAGCTAAAGGAAACTTTTGTACCGGAAGTTTTCTGAGGAAGTCCAGTATCATGGTGCGGCACTAATCTATGAAAGCCAGACCTTCACACATTTTTCCCCCATTTTTCTCGGCCAATCCATCCTCGCAAGTTGCTCCTCAGGTTTGGAACTCTTACAAGTCAATCCTTCCTCCTGGCGCCTGAGGGCGGACGGCTACCCTTTCTCTCCTCCTGTCTGTTGTTACAACAAACTCTTCCACAATAGTGACTAAACTCCAGTTTGCTGACTGAACACAGTGTTTTGGTTTTGTGGTTTCAAGGTCTTGTTAAGTTCTCATTTTCCAGGAACTGTATGAATGGGGGGCAAATTTCACAATTCAGTTGGGCATAAGCTCTACAGTAGCTTTTCCTCGGTCAGTCTTCCTGGGGTTTATAATATCACCACGGCATGTGACCTTTCCCTGCCACATGCTGCAAAAGCATCTTTTGCAGTGACTTGGCCTCTCCGATGTCAGCGAGGCACCAGTGGCCTCTATCATTCACCTGCCTTAACCTGGGTCCAGAACCTGCAGTGACTCATGATCTATTGCAATTCTCCCTATTACAAATAATAATGAGGAGCGGTATCATTTAACGAATGCCTACTTAAGAGTTTTATCCTGGGGAATGAATGAAAGCGGCCTAAAATGTGCCATTTCCCATGCTAGGTGGTGATGAGCCCTCCCGTCTTCTGAAGAATTTGCTTGGAGTGAGAAATCATTTCTGTCTGACTTGAAGGTAAGTGTCCCTTTCCTGTGTGAGTCCCTCTGGTTCCCTTCCAGTTTGTCAATTGTGTGCAGAAATTATTGAAGATATATCTAAAACTCTTAAGAAGGATTTCTGACAGGTTAAAAGGCACCTGAGAGCCACAGAATAGCAGAGAGAGAAGGGAAGAGCGCTCAGGACAGCGCTCCTTTCTGGGAGCAAGCCAACAGGCTTGCTCATTTCATGACCTCGCGTTTCTAGACAGTGAGATTCCACTCCCGGCTGAGTAACTCAAGAGACCGACTGGTGCCAGCTCTCCCAGATGAGGCGCCAATTGAACACCTACTACTTGCACCTCAAACGGTGTCAGTTTTCTCCTTCTTTGCCCCAAATCCTTCGCTCCGCAGCTCTTACACCACCAGTCCCTTGAAACTCCCTGGAACTTTTCACAGGTTTGCTGATGGCCTCACTCCGGCTCCTTAGGCTCCTCTGCCGGCCATGCTCAGGCTCTTAGTGCCTCCTGGTTCTGCCAAAGTCACCTTCTTGTTTTGCACTACATTCACATCTTTGGAAATGCTACCCTTAATGACTGCCCATGTTGGGATGAGTTCCAGATCTCTCTTTCTTTCTCCATCAACCTCCTTCTTCCTTCTTACATTCCCTCCCCCTTCTGTTTGGTATCTGTCCTCCTGCACCTCTCTCTCTTTCCCCTTCCCCTCCCTCTCTAGTGAAAATTTCTCACCTGAGTCCCACCTTCTCTCCACCTCTATCTTTGACAGAGATCGGCTGCCCTCAGCCATCCTGTTCCTGGGCCTCAGAGGGGTCTCTTCTACCAGGCTGTTCCACAGGCACTGGATTCTTCTCAATCAGCATTGCTTACGTGGTAGCCCAGAAATTAATGGTAACTATCTGAAAGGGCCTTCACAGTCCTAACAGCCTCTGCTCCAACCCTGACTTCAGTATGTTTTGGAACTTCACTACATATCCATCTCTACCACAGCCAAATTCCTAGGCCTTTTTCACGGTTGTTCATATCCGTTCAACCAGGGAGAGTTCTCACCAAGATTCCCAAGATCCAGGATGATTTGGTGGCATTCTGCTTTCCTACTGCTTTAAAATTCACGGATTCTACAATGTATCTGCTCAGAGTTATCGAAGTTCCAGAAATCATAAGGTGGTAACAGGTTTAAGGTAATTTTTGAGGGGTGCCTGGGTGACTCAGTCAATTAAGCATCCAACTCTTGATTTCGGCTCAGGTCACGATCTCACGGTTCATGAGTTCAAGCCCCGCATCGAGCCACACATCGGGCTCTGCGCTGACAGTGCAGGGCCTGCTTGGGATTCTCTCTCCCCCCCAACCTCACTGCCTCTTCCCTATTCACACTCTCTCTCTTAAAATAAATAAATAAACTTTAAAAAAAAGATAATCTTTGAGAAAAATAAAAACACTTTTTCCAACAATTACAATGAAAACCTTAGCTTTTTGCTAATTATTATGATACCTCAGCCATAACAGCACAGAGGTGGACCATGACATCCACCAAGAAGCAGAAGAGAAGACAGGTCTTTAAGACTAAGATTACCCAACTGTAAATCATATTAGAAACAGAGGCCAGCAGTTTTTCTCAGTGGTTCTTTTGAGAACCCAAGTACCTTGATTTCATTTTTTTTTAACAACTGTGCTGAGAATTAACACTCAGAATTATAGACTTCATATGAAGAATGATCAACAAAGGTGACTGGAAAAGGACCTACATACACATATGGCCTGGCCAGAACATTACACTATCGTTAATGATAATGCACAGACCACATGAATTCATAGCCAAGGTTTTCATTTCCTTGGGATCTGAGCCATGTATAAGAAATTTAACTAAGAGCACTAGGGTAAAGTTCTACATTTAAGAAAAGTTTACAGGACCTTTAATGTCTACACATAGCTTTGCTTCTAAGGTTTCAGCCAGAAGACTGCCACTAGGCAATCAGCTGCACAGCATTCAATTTATCTACATTGGAAGGATGACTCAGAGCTATTGGGATTTGAATATGTGGCTCCAGTTAGTCTAGCTGTGTATTACTGACAGGGAGACCACTAAGCCATCTCCTTCCAGCCAGATGAGTTTCCATCTAAAGTCTGCAAATCCAGGGGGATGTGAAGCAGGGAGTAACACGATCTCAGCAAGCACTGTTTAGTGTGCAGTTAGTCAGGTAGGCCAAATCCAGAGTCAGCATCAGCAGAAACTGCCTTGCTCACATCACCTACTCCAAGAAGGGCTAAGAGTGGGCGGGTTCTTAAAGTCATGTGACTCATAAGGCCCACCAATTCATGCAGGTGAATGTAGTTTCTGAACACTTGCGGCATGCCAGTTGCTGTGTTAGGCATTAGGGATGTAACAGTGAAAAAACAAACCCAGTCCCTGCCTGCAAGAGGCTTTCAGACTGGCAGGGAGACAGTCTGAGTACCCAGCAGAGTCCACAGTGAGACCTGAAGGAGGAGTAGCACTTAGAAGGACAACAGTCAGGAAGACCATAACAGACGCCCTTATAGGAATGACTAATGTTAACAGTCATCAACTGGATGCCTCTTCTCGGCAACCCCACCTCCGCTAGACTTGCATCCCTACTCCACGTGTCTGCTCTAAGCTTGCACATGTAGCATGTACTTCATTCGCGTTCATTTGTTAGGCATACTTTGGCTTCATATTGTGCACAGAGCATGCCAAATACTAAAAACACATTTGCATAGTGCTTTCAAATATTTTCTCTTAGTGAATCTTCAAAACAATTCTATGATGTCAGTGGACTAAATACTCTTATTGTCTCCAATTTACAGAAAAAGAGACCAAGGACAAGGATCATATCCTCTAATCGCCCAGTTCACAGCTTCCCCCTATGGTAATGCATGTTATACGATTTTATAATTGTCTACTTCTCTGCCTCCACCATGAGACTGTAATCTCTTTAGGATCAGAGACTGCCTTCAATGTGATGCCTAGTATATAATGAATGTTCAACTAACAGTTGTTCAATGACTAATTTATCTTCTCTGTGAAGTTTTCTCTGATCTACCCTATCCCCTACTCCTAAGTGGTAGGAATTTACAGTTTTACGGCTAAGTGATAAAAACACAGGTTTTAGAGTCTCACTAGGCAGGGTTCACATTCTAGCTCCACCACCTACCAGGTGTGTGATTTAAGAGGTATTATTTACCTCTCTGAGTCTTGGCTATCTGCAAAACAAGGATGATACAATCTACTGTAGATTTTTATCCACAGTAAATTTCTAGAAAGGCTGTGAAGATAGGATCTGGCCTATGTTCCCTTCTGATGATCCTTCACAACCTGTTATTTGTACCTTTACTTGACTGTTCTTGTTTAGTGCCAACATCCACCACCCAGAGGATGAATTCTTGAAAACAGGGTCTGTGTTGGTCACCTTCATATTCCTAGAGGCTGCTCCAATGTTTTACGAATATTGGACACTCAACAAATGTCTGGAGAAATAAAATAAACCAAGCTACACTTTTACCTGCCTGTAGTTCAGAAGTCAGCACTCACTTGGCGTTCAATAAATACTGCTGACAGACTGTGCAATTTAGTCCAGATAAAGGATGTGGAATTGCAGGCTTGGTCTCTGTCATTCTAGAAGATGTTTTGTTGAGAAGGGGTACTCCAGGGCCTCTCACCCACCTATCTGCAGAGCAGCTCGAACAGATACACACTGGAGCACAAGTTTCACAATCTGGTTGTGTAACCGGGAAGCCAAGGACTGGACTTTCAGTTTTCTCAGCCCCAAGCTCCTTAGATTGGGCACAAAAAAAAACCCACAAAATTTCTGCCTTCTAGTCCCTTCAGGCTTTCTCCTGGGACTGTAGGAATGTAAGGAGCCCTCAAGCCACTCCTGCCTTGAAGGGATTCCAGAGCTGGAGACAATGTGACCCAGCACCCCCACCTAGAGACCCACCTTCATTAGGAGTTCCCGGCTGGTCAAATGGTTATTATGGTCAGAGAAGATATCTGAAAGCTCTTCAAACATCAGCATTCGGTCCCTGTGAGAGGGGTTAAGAAAATATTCACAAACAAAGAGTCAGTGAAAGTCCCACACCTTGGGCCCTGCTGCTCTCAGTTACCTATGGCTCCAGAGGGATCACACTGATCTCAGGATCAGTGAGGGATGTGAGCGCAGATGAAGCCAATGGCTTTGTTCATGCAGGGTGTTTTTTTTTTTTTTTTTAAGGTAGACATGGTCACCTATGTGAAGAAACGGATTTTTCTAACCATGCAACATATATTATAACAATCATAAAAGGATCAAAAAAAAAAAAAATCTCAGGCACCTGGGTGGCTCAGTCAGTTAAGTATCTGGCTCTTGATTTCAGCTCAGGTCATGATTTCAAGGTTGGTGAGCTCGAGCCCCGCACTGCACTCTGTGCTGATAGCACGGAGCCTGCTTGGGATTCTCTCCCTCCAATTCTCTCTCCTTTCAAAATAAATAAATAAACTTAAAAAACAATTTTTTAAAAAAAATTTTATCTCAGAATACACACAGAGCCCCGCAGGACCTGAGAAATCATGTTGGCCAAGGTCAGGGACTTGTCCACGTTGCCAACGCTAAGTGTTGAGACTAAATTTCCTGAATCACAGCCTGGTGCTCTCATCTCAGAGCCATAACAGATGGAAGCAGAACAGGCTGTGGTCAGGGGAGTGGGTTCAAATCCCCGCTCTGCCACTCACTCCCCAAGTGATTGTGGGCAATTCGTTTAACTTGCTTAGGCTTCCACTTTCTTACCTATACAATGAAAATTCTAGGACTCCCTCTGAAAGACTGCTGTGAAGTCAGCAGGATCACATATGCAAAGTGTCTACTCTGCCTCTGCCAGTCTACTACATGTCCACGGGCCTCATGCTTTACTCTGCACCCCGCCAGGGTTAGTGAGTGGAGGGCTCTGAAGGCAAAGAATTAACGGGACAATATCACTCTATACGTAGCATTTCATTATCATGAGAAAGCCACCATTAACTTATTTGTTTTACAATGAGTGTAATATCACTGTTATAATAAAGAAAACCAGTAAAGCTATTTACATTTTGGAAAAAATAATTAAGAACTTAATTACATGTGGGCCTGCATAAACAGAAATAAACACGTCTTTTCTGTCCACTGAAAGTCATTAGCATAAAGGATTATAGGGAAAGTGATAACCAAATAAGGTATCTTAACCCTGTCCCTTGAATTTATCAATGAAAGACATGGAAAGCTGGTATGAAAGTGTCTTCTCTAGAAACTGTGACACTAAAACATGAACCAACCAAGAAACAAACCAGACACCCATCCAACCAAGCCAGAATGTGGCTTTGAGGTTTGTTTTGTGGTGAAATAGTTTACAAAGCCAACTGAAAGAATGAACCTTCTCATATGGTAACCAAGAGATTCAGCTCCAGCTCCACTAACTTTTTCATTTGTGTTTTAGCCTCAAATTTGCTGTGCAGGAACTTTTGGCTAAGTGACTTTCCACAGCGTGCTATTTATCAACTACCACAGAAAGATAGGATCACCTTTCATTGCAATCACAGAAGACTGCAACCAGGCACAGGTGGTATTTTAGCACCTGACCATCCCTTTGGTTTTGTTTTTGACACCACAGTAAGGGAACGGTGATGAGGGCAAGGAGAGGCCTCTGGGGCTATTGAACATGAGGACTCTGCATGCATCTGATTTTCCCATTGTATTTTACAAACGCCTGTCATCTAATGACTTTATAATGCCCATATCTTTCATAAGATTTATATGCAAAGGAAAACCAATTAACTAATCTTTCACCTACAGAGTCAGCTTGACTATTCGAAGTAATGAAGAAGAGAAAGAACCAAGAAATAAGTGGTAATCAAAAACATTGCATTGGACTTTGAAAAGCCTATCTGCCAGGTTTTCTTCTGGTAGATAACAGTATTATAAACAGAGAAGGAGCTCTGGAGTCTCCAAGTGGCTGTGGCTTCTACGGCTCTGTAACACCAGGCATTACAACCACCCACTTCAATTTTTTCTGCTGGCTCATCAAAGATTTATTTCATAAGTAATTTGACTTCCCCCAAGTAGACTCTCCTCTGAGAATATGAGCCCATTGGTATGCACTCATTTTTCAGCAAAAATTTATGAAATTCTGGTTTACCTATCTGGGTTTCTTGCAAGTTTGGATAGTGTCAGTCCCTTAGGGCTTAATCAGCTCTGAGTGAACTCATGAAACCGAGTACCTAGACTTTCCACTCTTAAGCACCAAACCCACCAATTCCACAGGGGCAGGCCTGCCTGGGAAGCCAGCTGGCCCCTCTCTTGGCTGCAACCGACCATACTACATACAGTATAGACTGTAAACAGTTTACACATTCTTTCCTGATATGCTTGCCTTCTTGATTAGTTCAAACCTAGGTAGACCTGTTGAATGTAATTGGCCTCGTTTGTAGCCATGACATATTCCCCAGCTTCTAAAGCTGTGTGGATAGGGAACCGGAGCTGCCTCCTCCTTCACCTTTCCCTCCTTCGCAAAAAGTTCTCTGGTCTCCAGGGGAAGCTCTGGAAATAGGGGAATGAAGATGGCGAAACAATAAGGACATTGTCCCAAAGGTTACACCAAGAAATATGAAGAAAAACAATATAAAACATGGCCAGTTAAAAATGTTAGTCAGGTCCCTAGGCAGGAACATTTAGGGATTTTTAATATCACTAAGATAGCGTTTAACTCGGGGCGCCTGGGTGGCTCAGTCGGTTAAGCATCCGACTTCGGCTCAGGTCATGATCTCGCAGTCCGTGAGTTCGAGCCCCGCGTCGGGCTCTGTGCTGACAGCTCAGAGCCTGGAGCCTGTTTCAGATTCTGTGTCTCCCTCTCTCTCTGACCCTCCCCCGTTCATGCTGTCTCTCCCTGTCTCACAAATAAATAAACGTTAAGAAAAATTAAAAACAAAAAACAAAAAAGATAGCGTTTAACATGCTGAAACAGAAGTTAAGTAAGTAGACTCTTGCTAAACAGCAAGAGCTAGCGTCCTATCTACACACATGCTCCCTCACATCTTGGAACAGCTTACGGCTTTGGAGCGTGGCTGAGAAATAACCAGAAGGAATGGTCGCACTGCTGTAACTTCATCACTCCACACCCTTCCCCCTCAGCCTCTAGACGACAAGCACATCCTTCAAATCATCCCAAAGCCAATACTCTTGATGTTGGTGCACTTCGCAGATGAGTCTGACTTCTCTGCCTAAAAACTCATTAATAATTATGTGTCAAGTGCACCCTGCCTGGGACATACAGAGGCTTTCAAATACGTTTCTCTAGTTACAGAATATGGGCTTTGAAGGCAAGGACCCATACCATTTATACAGTGACTAAGTCACCCCAGCCAAAGAAAGCAGAGTGGACACTTGGGAACTTACTTTGGGACGACGGCCCAGGTCTTTTTTAACCTATAGATGGAATTGGACTGCAGTGCCGAAATGATGGCCCTCAAGGAAGAAAAATTCTTCAGGATTCTACATTCCTGTATGGAGGGTGATTAAAACATAAAAGGCATTTTAAATATCAATAATACTGCGAGTTGGTGGTTTCCTGTTTTAGAGGTATCACAGCTGCTATGAATTCTTACCACTAAATAGGCAGCTGTATAAATACTCAACATCAAAAAGCAGCTCCTTACTCCCACCCCAGTCACCGAAACACTTTATAGGTTTTGGCACTGTATGCTTGTTTTTCTCCCTTTAATATATTTTTTGCGTTGTTGTTATAGTTTTATGGTTTCCAGCTTTCCTCGTAAAAACACGAACGGAGGTGAGTCTGCAAGGCTATGCTCGGAAAGCAAACTTTCTTCTGCTGAAAGCACACAGATGCCCTAAAAACACATATGAAAGGTCACTATATCCTTTAGACCCACAGTGTGAGCCGGGCAGCGGCCACCGGGAGGTCAGATGGTATCGAACATCTCATGACCAACCCTTGCCCAGAGAGGTGTATATAACTTGGCAATAAACATTCACCACAAGTTGAACTTTGGCTTTCATGCTCTTAGCCAAGAGGGAATATTTTTATACACACGCATTTCGTTTCAAATTGGCTTGTGCCACAGTCATAAACATTCAGAAACACCTTGGTACTTCGCTGTTTCCAAAATAAGCCGGAGCTTTTAAAATGAAATCCATTTTGGCAGCATTTTAGAACAAAATCAAGGAGGACAGGAAATAGTCTGGATGTCGTTTTCTGGGTAAAGAGAAAGGCTCTCTGATCCTGAAACTTAAGCTACCGCACCGAGTGGATAGCCTCGGCAGCCAGTGACCCTGGAGTCAAAGTCCTGCCGCATGAATGGCGGGGACAGCAAAACAGTGAGGGAGGGAGAGAGTCCCATTCTTGGCGCCATGGGGAGAGTGGATTATGTCTTATGTCAAAGGAGATGTTTCATATGCAGGCATTTGGGAGTGTAGTCTATCCACTGTTTACAATTGAGTACACCGTGTGGGCACGGGGTTGGCTTTGTGCAGAACATCTGAAGCAAGAAATTCCAAAATGGTTGGGCAGAACTGCACATTGCTTAGAAGGTCAATTCATGAAGTAATGCTAATCCCGAATAGGAAGGAAAAACAGCATTCTCTAACTTAGCTTGTCAAAATCCGGCTACTTAAAACCATGCCCAACAAACAAATCTCCAAACATTATTTCCTTAGAGTATAGGCCAAAGTATTTTACAAAAGTCATGCCCACTCTTTTTAAATGTCTCAATGCCTTCCCCTTATTTGAAAAGAAAGAAAGAGAAAGAGAAAGAGAGAGAGAGAGAGAGAGCACTCTGAATTACAGTCAGTCTGGAAACCCAAACCCATGAGAGCATGGTTCAACAAAGGTTCAGAATCCAAAAGTCATGCTCCAAAAATCAAGAAACTTGCAATAAATAAAGGAACTCAGGCACAGATATTTCATGCAAATTGTAATAAACATATGGAACACATTATTCAGAAAGAGGCTTAAGCTAAGGGTTTTAAAGGCGTACAAAAGACATTTGGCCCCGTTTCTAGAAAGGGAGGTATCTTCCAGGAGACGTGGTGCAAAAGTAAAAAGAAAACACAGCAGCAAGGCCAGCCCAAGAAAATATAATCACATCAGGTCACAAATATTTTCTGTGTGTAAAATTATTATCGTTTTTTCAAATATCCTCTCGATAGAAACTGAGTATGATTAATGCAAGAAAAGTAAAATAAATCTTGGCAGGAAACCACCTATGAGTTTCATTATTTTATTAAATTACTCCACACAATTTCAAGGGACACAACGTGCTCAATATTAGGAAACTACACCACCAAGAACAAAGACCCCTGGCTTTTAAATATGTGCTATGGGATTTGGAATATACCTCAAATTGTTCAACTTGCATTTCTTATTAACACATATGTGCACAATTTGTATTTAATTTGGACCAAAAGTCATTGTTTGAGCCACACTGTCATACACACAGATGCTGTATTCTTGCTATAGACTTTCTAAGTAGTGGAATGGATTAAAAGATATGGCATTTATGGCCAAAACAAAAATATTTTCTTCTCATTCTGAGAAGGCAGAAATTCCATGCTTTATTCCACTCTATCAGAAATTCTTTTTATAACTCTTGAGAAATTAGCTCAATTCAGAATAGGAGAAATCTAAGTTGTAAGACACTGTTCTCTTACTTTTTTCATATACGAAAAAGTCTGTGGTAACCGAGCACCTAAAAATTCAAAATAAGGCAAATCCTCTAGCACAATTATGGCCCTGCTCTTTGATCAAAGACAACAAAGAGAATGTAAAATACAAAGAGAGAGACAGAGAGAGAGAGTGTGGGTGTGAAAATGTAAACATTATGCCCTAAACAGGAGGGCTTAATGAAAAAAGTATATTAGGATAGAAAGCAAAATGGGTTTTGGTTGAGGGTTGACTCACATAACCCAGAACATGGACTAGTAAGATATTTACATAATAATTATTTTTCAAAGTTGTTGTTAATTACATAGCTTTTGCTGATGTAATTTCTTCTGTCTAGGAAAAAAAAAAAATCTAACTCAATCTTCAAATACCAAAAATTCTATCTAGTATTAAAGCTAAGTCCAAAAGTCATCCTATCCATGAAGCCCTCCTCAATCCCCCCAGAAGTGGTTTCTCCCTCCACCACTGCAGCTTATCTCGGAGGGCCCCGCTCCTCTTCTGCCTCAGCTGAGATCATCCCAGTATATCTCAGAGTATCTTGGCTTCCTTGTGTGACTACAGGCTCCTGTAAGATTACATTAATTGTGCCTATCCTCACAATGTCCCCAAATTACATAATATTGTAGCTTATGTGCATTTAGGAGCGCATGAAATGTCTGGTGACCAACTGACTGAATACTGTTCACGTTTCCACAGTCATGAAGATACTGATAAGCGAAAGTCATGCAGTATGTAAGCAGCTGACCCAGAGCCCAGACTGACACTCAGCAGAATGTAATTCAGACCTAGGAATAAACTCTGCCCTTCTACCTTCAGATAGAAGGTCCTCAGAAAAGCCCCAGATTAATGTGAAATCTGGGCACCTCAGTCCTTCAGGAAAGAGATTCAGGATTCTGAGAAGGTACTGGCTCTTCAAGTCTGCAGAAGACATAATGTTTCCGGGTGCTGGAAGGGTGCCTAGGTAGGTGATCATTCTGCAGTGAAGAGTAGTCAGTTTGGCACTTAGACCATCAAGTTGTATTTACTGAACACGGGGCAGAACTGACACTCAGTTGGTGACTATAAGGGAAAAAGCAGGCATATGTCACCCTGGAGATGCAGCAGTGTGCAGGCCCATGAGCTGAAAGAAGTGAGCAAGGGACCGATTTTCTTTAAAGAGGAAAAATAGGAGCACCTGGGTGGCTTAGTGGGTTAAGTGTCCGGCTTCGGCTCAGGTCATGATCTCACGGTTCGTGGGTTTGAGCCCCGCATAGGAGCCTGCTTCAGATTCTGCGTCTCCTCTCTCTCTGCCCCGCCCCACCTCGCACACTGCCTCTCAAACATAAATAAATATTTTAAAAATTTTTAAAAAATAAAGAGGCAAAATAAGCTCCTATTTAAGAAAGACCATTTTTTCTTACTTTGGAAGAAGAATAACAGCAACAAAAACCCAGGGGGTCCTCACATATGTTGTTTGATTGCCTTTCAGCCAAATGGATAGACCCATTTAAACGGAGAGAAGGAATCGTCTCCAGTATCTACTAAATACAAAGAATATTTTTAAAAAGATAATTACATGAGCAATGTTAATCCACTTCTCGATGACTTTGGCTCTCTGTTGAGTTTTGAGTTCTCTGCCCCCCAGGATGGTGCTGACAACACATTTGGTGAGGGTGTTAAACTGAGAGATGGTAGCACGGATGGTAGGAGCCAAATGTTTGTTTTCCTTCTTATCCCTCTGAGACCAAATGCAGCCCAGGCAGTGGTGAGGCACTACTTTCTTGAATAGTTGCTGGAACAGAAGAGAAGCTGAGTTTAAGGACAACACAGACATTTCATATGGGAAAGCACATAGTCTGGGTCATCTGTGAATTGGTATTTTGTAAACGGACAAATAACCCTTTTCTACTTGACTTGCCTCGTGGTGTCTACTTCAATGGACAAAAGTAAATAATTAATATGTTAACTGGTCAGAAAAGCCCACATGTTCTTTCTCAATCTGCTCGACTGAACAGAACACAACGGCCAAAAGAAAATTCAAGTGACCGACAACATTTTGACTTTCCTATCTTGAAGGATAGGTAAAAATCTATACTACTAATCAAAAAAAAGTGGTTGAGGTGGTTTTGACCTCAGAATCATACACACGGTACGTTCTAGGCGCTCACGATCGTGAATTGTGTATAATGCATAGGGATGCCCAGTGACCACCTGACAAGTGTTCCAAAGTACAGTGCATGTGATGCTGTCATCAATGTCACTATTTCACATGATGTTTTAAATAAAGAAAATAAGCATATAAAAGGAAAAACTATCCAACATCACACAGTAAAATAAAGACAGAGGAACATAAAGCCTGGTTTCCAGGACTTTGCCTAAAAGTCATAGCCAATGAAGTTTCCGGTCTTTCTTTTACGCTATCAACCGTGGAACAAAAACAAAGCCAAATTAGTCAACTAAACGGGATTCTCATCTGTATGGCAATTCAAGGCAAGACACGTAAGGGTTTATATAAAAGAGAGAACACAGGGATTTACTTTACATAGACTATCTGATTTGCTTCTGATACTTTATTTGCATGCTCACCAGATGGAAACTCTGTCACTTTATTTGCTGCTTTCTTCAAAGTAGTAAGTGTACGAGAGTTTAAACCGTCACGATAATTTATAATAGTCTATTTACCAGCTGACACTGAGCTAGGACATGTGACTGATGAGATCAAATATGCACGGCTAACAAACTTCGGGAAAGTACAGGAGACACACATGGAAATGAACTGCCAGATACAGTCACATTTGGATTCAGTGAACTTATTTTATCCTAATTTATACTTTGACCGCTTCACAATCCTCCAAATAAACAGTTCAGATCTTGAAATATTTATGAGTCTAGAGGGAGAGAATACCCATGGAACAGGACAGATTTTGTTTCCTGAGAGTTAGAATTCTTACTTCCATGTATCGAGTGCCAAGTAAAAAGCACCTTCACCCGGCTTTGCAAGAAGAGCTTAAGCCTGAATTATTCAGATGATTGATTCAAGTCCCATCTTCACTCCGCATTTACAGGCATAGCCTCTCCTGGGGATTCGAAAAGACTTAAATCACATTACCCCACTGCCCTCCCCAGCCCACCAGTACTGTCACTCCCCACATTTTAAGTAGCAGCACATCGGAAGCACAAAGAGAAGACCTACGGCGTCCATGTAGGTCAGCTGCTCTGCCACAAGGTCTTCTGGGAAGCACGTGAATTCTGCGGGCCCTCCACCTTCCGGTTCCTCTTCCTCTTCCAGGCTGAAGAAGATGGTGTTGGGAAACCCATCTGTTCACAGATGGAAAAAAAAAGTCAGTCACCTGGTGCCACTGTTTATGACCTTGTTAGTAGAGTCAAACTGAACTTCTTTCATTAAGAAAGAAGAGGGCTAGGGGCGCCTGGGTGGCGCAGTCGGTTGAGCGTCCGGCTTCAGCCAGGTCACGATCTCGCGGTCTGTGAGTTCGAGCCCCGCGTCAGGCTCTGGGCCGATGGCTCGGAGCCTGGAGCCTGTTTCCGATTCTGTGTCTCCCTCTCTCTGCCCCTCCCCCGTTCATGCTCTGTCTCTCTCTGTCCCAAAAATAAATAAAAACGTTGGAAAAAAAAAAATTAAAAAAAGAAAAAAAAAGGAAAGAAGAGGGCTAATCCTTCGGAAAACCCACAGGGAGAAAATAGTAAGCACAATTAATCTGAGTGAAATGGAGGTCTTCTTAATCTGTTCTTAGATTCTTTATTAAGTTCAGAGGCCTCATGTTACCCCTTGGTAAACCACTGATAGCTAGGCCAGGGACACAGCCAGGTCAAGCAAAGTCTAGAGAAGCAAAGTTGGGCTACATTCTGGGGGTTTCCCTCATCTTGGCTCCCTCATACCCTCTGCTCAGCTTAAGGACCAATCAAACTGCTTCTTAAGCCCCAACTATGCAATTCTTAATCACTGGCCATTTATAAGCAGAAGCCTGGAAGGAGTGGGCATGAAAGCAGGCCAGGCATCAGGTAGGAGAATGGGACATATGGTGTCAGAAATGCTGATGAAATCCTCAGAATTCTAAGAAAGCCCTTAGACTGCTCAAGATGTTTGGAGCAACTTTCAGCTCCCACCTAAAGTCATGTACGAAGCAGAAGAACCTGAAACTAAATTCACCTGAGCTTTATTTTGGATAAGATTATCAATTAGTAAATTACACAGAGCATAGACTGAAGAAGTGAGGGGGTGTGGAAATCACTATAATAACTACTTGGATCCCAAATCGGAAGCTGAAGGACTCAGCCCATGGGCTCAGAACTCCAGACTCCATTTTGAAAGAGTGTGGAATTGGATGAAGTTTCATGTGAACCCCAGCCCCCACTCCCCAGAACCTGTCCTAGGTTGTTTTCCAACCTCATCCCCTACACCTCCACCCCTTCACACTCCTTGCTCTCCTGTTAAATCTGTTCTCAACAAAACAAAAACAAAAACAAAAAAAGCTAGCTGCATTCAGTTCTATGTTAGCAGAAATTTAAATCAGTGCATTACTACTCCCCCAGAATGTTTACATTTTAAGCTTTTTCTCTTTTCCTTTGTAGAATACGACTTTTATGCATCTCAGATCAAGTTGAGATGGCCTTTCCTTAGTTTTCCAGGGGAGAGGGGTGCTGAGAGTGGACCCCACATCACTCCCCCTGTCACAGTACCACGAGTACTTGATGACTCTGCTGAGAGGTATGTGATTTAAGGATGGACTCCTCCCCCTGGAGCTGAAAGGACTCATGTGAACGGGGCTGGGTTAGAAGTAGGAGGGGATCCATGCCTGCCTCCAAAGGCTGGAACACAAACAGGCATGAGCTTTAAAAAAAAAAAAAAAAAAAAAAAAAAAAAAAAAAGCAAAACCTAAAACCCTATGATTTCACCACTCTGCCTCCACAAAACTCTGGTACTCTCCAATTCAGCAAAGGAATAAAACAATTGAAATCGCAAAGGTTCAGAATGGGCCTCTCATCCCTTTTGCTAGCTACTCTATAAATCTATCCCAATCACTCTGCCGTGCAGAGGCTGACCCACGCCAGCCCAAGAGGATGTGTGGTAAGGTCAGACCCCCTCATTCATTCAACAAACACTCACGGCAACCTCTATGTGCCTTGGATGTTGCTGTGAGAAGATTACGTAGTCCTTTCTCTCTGGGGCCTAGGCCATGCCTTCACTGTTTCCGCTTTTGACTCTCTTCCAGAGGTAAGTAAGTAAAAACTTGAAGCAAAATTTTACTTTTAAAAAACAATGTAGGAAAACTTTTGCTTTTGCCAGCATGAAATTGGGCAAAATAAGCCCATGAGAACCAAGCTCCTAAAACTCCTTTTCCGTGATGACTACTGTGCTTAATAAACAGAGAGTTTGGAGCTTTCTTGATTAAAATTTTCCAAACTCCAAAAAAAATTCATTTTCGAGCATTGCATAAAAGCCTTTCCAAAGTCAGGCAGTCTCCCTCTCCCCTGCCTCAGCCTGCCAGTCTCCCTCTCCCCTGCCTCAGCCTGCCAAATGAGTTCTGCCTTCCAGTCCTCGGTCGGAAACAATGAACGACTGGTCCCACCGGTTCCCCAATTAGGCCCGGAGCCAGGGGCAGCCCCAGTGGGGAGAGAGCTGGGCTCTAACATAGCATTTTCCACTCTGGCTCAAAGACAGGCGGGGAGGCCTGAAGGGAGTTCAGGTCCGGCAGCTGGAGGAGTGCCCCTGGTATTCAAACATTCCCGGCAGATGAAGTCATCTTAGATACGGGTACTTGGCAGTCAGCTTCTAATGATGCGATTGTACCGCCCCCCTGCCGGCACCCACCGCTCTGATCCCCCTACATAAAACATTCAACAGGTACCGTTTGGAATTTAAGGTTATTTTCTTTGGCACTCAGGCAGCTTCCCTTATCGGTGATGAGGAACCGTTTCCTTTCCCTCACTGAGGAAATCGGGCGTCACTTCAGGGAAATGCCTGTCAAAAGCTCCAAGTGGGTCAGCCGCCATGGCAACCATCACCCGGCAGGCCAGTGGGGGGATAAATCGTCACACTGAAAGCCTGTCCTAACCTCTTTCTGACTTTCTTCAAAGCCTGATATTTCCAAGCTGCCCACGACCTGCAGCGGTGGCCCTTCCTTTGTCCTTGAAAACAGGCAGTCAATTCCTCCGATAGGAAAAAACAGCCACAGAAACTTCCTTTGATGAGGCCATCCGAGAAGCTCAATGACAGTGACGTTTTCTAGCTGACAGAGAAACACTTTTTCAGGGCTTTTCGAACTTTCGTGAGGGCTGGAGCACAACTGCATTTAAATCCCCGCCCGCTGAATAGTGGTGGTTGTGATGGGTTTCCTCCATTAGATAGAAAGAGGAGCCACGAGGCAGATCATAAAAAGCAAATTCAAGTTCAGCATGGGACATGTTGACAAGAGAAGGTAAAGGACCATCAAGAGGACCATCCTCTTTATGGTATTAGAAGAAACCCGAGGAAATGCACTTCTCAGGGCCAGTTTCTTTATCTATAATGAGCACGCCACACCAGGTGGTCTTAAAAATCTCCTTCTTGGCTCTAAAACTCTTAGGCTCTGTAATTAGCACTGAGATAAACTTTAGAATTTTTACCCACCACCAATCCCCCCAGCAGCTTGTCTCTGTGAGACCAACCAAGGTCATTCATCAAGTACAGGGAGAACGTTTTGTCAACAAGGGGACTACAGAATCAGAATCTAACTTGTTCCCTGGAATCAAGTCAGTACTCACTGTCAGTTTCCACTTCTTGCTTGTGAAACTGCTCCAGAAGATTTTGCGCTCTTCTCTCCGGATCGGAGCCTGGCATCATCCGTTTGAGATAATCCAGCAGTTTCTGTAAGCAAGGGAAGTGAGGGGGTTCTCGGAAGTCCTCTGCACACTGGTCAAGCCAGGCCCTCAGGATCGAGGCGATTGCACTGAGAAAGAGAAATGGAGAGTCACTGCACCCAACTGGATGTGGGGACTCAAAACGAGACCTGGATACCATGGCCTCACCCAGAGATACCTCACAAAACCAGGGGTCAACAGAGAATTCACCCAAAAGTTCCTGGCAATGTCAATGAAGTTAAAGCACTTGAAGACAAGCTGACAATTATTATTATTTTATCTTATTTATCTTATTATTTTATAATAAATAAACATTATTTATCTTATTATTTTAAGTGGTGGTTGTAGAGCTGGGGAAAGACTGATTAAGTTCCAAAAAAAGATAGGACCAAAAACTTTGGAAAAACTCATATGGGGGGGGAGGGGGAAGACACGCAGAAGGAGATTTAGTGAGCCCTGAAGCAACTTCAAAGCAATCTGTGCACAAGGAGATTATGTGTTTCCAGTTCTGGATTCACTCATATCAGAAACCACAAAATCAACTGTACTAACATTTTAGGAAATAACTGACAGTAGGCCTGAAATCCGTCTAATGACAGGAAGTGCCTAGGTTTGGAAAAGATAACAGCATTAATTTAATTTTACAAAGATTACCAGGGTTTCAGCATAAGTACCCCAAAAATGTGCCCCCCCAATTATCCTTTTGCTTTTCAAATTATAAGAGAAGAATATGTAGGAGAAACAGTACCTAATAGAGAGGTAGGTCTTTGAAAGGTAAGGGACAAAACCTTGAGAAGCAAAGCCACTGTGAAGGCGATTTCCTCTGATGGCTCAGCAGAGAATACCTTAGGCAAGACAAGGGTCAGGGCACAAAAAGAGACAGGGCCGTGACGTGTGCACACCCCCTCCCCCACCCCCACCATGGTACTAAGAACACGCGTGTGCTGTCTTAGGTTAGGGACAGCCCCACATCCACTGGAAAAGACAAACAGCTGACTGGCGAAAAGGATAAAAAGTTTTGAGTGCTATCATTTTGCGCTTCATGTTCAAAGAGGACGTGCTGGGCTGGATGCACTCATGATGGCTGGAGATGACAGGGGCTATAAATTAATCAATCCATGTTTTAGTGACAGTGATGTGATACTTCATTTTAGCTAACGACACAACTGACCAAAATTCTTCAGCTGATTAAAAAAAAAAAAAGGCTTAGCGCCTCTTTAAATTATCATCTAAGTATCCTTCAAACAAATTGTTCACTCAGTTAACAACCTGTAAAGAGACTACAAGGATGGTAGTGAACCTGCAGGCTGGGCTTTGACAGGTGTGCCTAAATTCCACACATCCCAAATTCCTACCATGAAGCCGGACTACAATACAGGCATACGTACAACCAAAGCCAATTCAATGCTTACCCTTTGGAGGTGAAGTGCAAACAGAAGAAAAATAAATTTACTAATTGGTTTCACTGCTGTGTATATCATTGCTTTACTAACAAGGACACGAGGGCCTTTGGAACTATAATATTCACATGCGTATGTTGGAAATAGGTAACATAAAACCACAGAAATAATTAAAATATTCTCTAAATCTTTAGTCCAGATTAAATAAAAAGCCAAACAAAAGTTTCACTCCCTCCCAAAAGATTCGAGGAAATTAATATGGGACCTGGGATTTAATGAAAACATAAGCAAAGTGAAATTAATGGAGTCTCCTCAGTGGGCCTTCAATCCTCAGTTTACCTGCAAAATCACGTGTTATGTATGAATGCTTGTGTCCCCCCATTCATATGTTGAAACACTCACGCCCCCGAAAATTGATGGACTTCTACTTTTTAAGAGCCCACACATTGCATTATTTCTCCTTTCTTCACACACACACACACACACACACACACACACACACACACACACAAAACCATATGATGAACTGAAGAAGAAAATGATGAAGTAGCATTCTAACACTTCCTTTTTATAAGGAACAAGATGTTTTCTATGAATAATTTCTCTTCTTCCCTGACAAGCGCTGAGCCCAGAACTGGGGTAGGCACACTGGTGGGGGAACAGGCTGGAACATAGGACAACCTGACATTTGCTTTCATCAGGTTGAGTCCTACATATAGTTTTGTAATTCTCAAAAGAAGCATAAATTGATCTGATTAATATAACTACTCATTTAATATTTAATATTTCGGTGAGAGAATACTCTTCCAATGACACTGATAGAAAAAACAGACATGGAGGGACGAGAATTCACATCAACCAATAAAAATGAAAAAGAACACCCACCCAACAACGAGACCAGCAACACAATGACCCTAGTGACTCCTCAGTTGCATAACTTAAAAGAAAAGCCAGGCAGAAATCCAGAATCACAGGAAAAAGACACATAGTAAAAGATATTAACTTTTACTCCTTGGCCTCCCATAAATATTAGTTTTCAAGTTACAAAACTGATTATTTATTGCAAAAAAGTAAGTATTACAAATGTATACAGACGAAAACAGCAAAATATCATTTCCCTTCCGTTTTCCATTTCTGTGACCCATCCCACAATCCCATTTCCATGACCACCTATTAACAGTCTGGAGTATATCCTTCCAGTCTTTTCAGTGGATATGTATATATACTTAAATAGATATACTGTGCATAGATCAGCCAACATGGATTTTTGTTCCCACTGAATGGTATGAAACAGACACCACTCCATTCACTGCCTCCAGATCTACCTTACTGTTTCCCACTGTGTGGACACACGATAATTAATAGAAGGATTCTTCTACTAGTATACAAATGTTTATGTTATTTTTGTGTTCTCACAACTACAAACAATTACAAAAGGTGCATCCTTGTTCGCATCTCCGTGTACTTCTGCATCTCTACAGGACACATCATTTAGCGCTTACTTCCACGGAAAGTGCAGCCTCGGAAGGTCTGCAGGAGTCCTGAAAAGGGACCTGAATCCAGATTGGACTCGCCTTTAGGTGCACATTTTGTCCTCCTCAGTCTGACGTTTTTAACTAGCTCTGCTGAGCTATTCGTTCCACCCTTTGTGACAGTGCCCTTCCCACAGCTTAGCCTAAGAGGACTGTGGAAGTTACTACAAACCCAGACCCTGACTTGGCTAGAAAAAGCATTTTCACAGAAAAGAGGAGTGTAGGGGGAAGGAGGAAGAAGGAAGAGAAGAAGGGAAAGATACACACAAACAGCACAATACAACACGGGGTCTGCTGTCAGGCCAATTATCAGCATGCCAGAAAGGGAGGTTTTCTGGAAAGTCCTGGACATGTGCCCGAAGCTCACAGTAGCTTTATGTTTACTACTCCTGGGAAGAAAACTTCCCGCTCTTGATAGACTATAAAGCAGATAAAATGTGAAACATCTGAGATTTCAAAAAGGAAAGCAACATCACAAAATCATGGCAGCCAACAGGATTACTGGCCAATGCCTTTCCAACTTACCCTTCCTGGCTCCACTCCCAAGGTCTGGCTTACATAGCAACCAGAACTGATTACTGGGCAGAATGTAAAAAACCTCAATACTGAAGGGAAATCTGCTTTAAAATCACAAACTTACAGGAAAGGTATGACTGTTGAGCTAGAGAAGCTACTTGGTTCTGTACCAGAACAAGAAAGAAGGCTGAAGAAGGAAAACCCAATTCCCATCCAGCTGTGCCACCTGTGAACAAAGGGAGGTGGGGAGTCACTCAACTCCACTGACCCGTACCTAGAGAAGAGATATAATACCTGCCTTCATCTACCTGACACTGATCAGCTGTGACTTCACAGGACATAATGTCAAGAAGGACGTTTCAAGATACCCAAAGAGAAATGTAACTTTTAGGCGTCTTAAAACTACTTGCCATAAATCACAAAAGGAAGGGACTGAAAAAGGTAAAAATGGCCCAGTGAAAATCAGCACGTATGGAAATCCCTCAAAGAATCTGCCACCCAAACAGAAAGGATGACATGAAATACAAACTGTGTGACAACACGTGTGGCTCCAGGCCTGCTATTACAAACAGATACACACGCAAGCCCGCACACACATGCACACA